TGGAGTTAAGGCACCCTGGGTGCTCCCCTTTATTCACAGACTGTCTCTAAATGATACAAGTAAAGCTACAACCTAGGGTCAATCTAGAAACCAGGCCCACAGTCCATGTCTTCCACATCTTTCCTTGCAGGTAGTCTCTGATGGTCCCTGGGCACAGTCAACCTCACAGTCATACATTGAAGGTTTTGCATCCTGCTTGGCTCGCCACAGGCAACTCACTTGTTCTCACCCTCAAGTGCATCCACAGGACCCTAGAAAGTAAATTCTGCACATCCCTTCAAAGTGCCTCATTCCCACTGGTGGATTTCTTTGCTTCTCTAAATAAAAGTTTAAATTGTATATGCTATATATATCAAAGACTTATTTTAAGACAAAATTCTTTATGATTTTCCATTGGCATTTCTTTTTTTCTTTTTAGCTTTTGAGACAAAGTTTCTCTGTGTAGCCTTGGCTGTCCTAGATTAGCTATGTAGACCAGGCTAGCCTTGAACTCACAGAGATCTGCCTGCCTCTGCCTCCTTGAGTGCTAGAATTACAGGCGTGCACCACCACACCTGGCTTTTTTTATTTTATTAAGAACTAAACTCAAACTCTACTTATTAGCACTGAAGAGTGACTTTTGAGTAGGAAGCAGACTTAGCTCAGAACCTCTCAAAGGAAGCAAAATCTTCGGAGGAAAATGGCTTCAGCACCACGGAAAGTTCCCCGACCGCCTTCTCCCAAAAGCCAGGATGGTGGCTTTTGAATAGCAAGGTTTCAAAGTACAGTTCTCGTGGTCCTGTTCCTTTAGTCCTCTGTCTACGCCACACTTAAAGAGCCACACTTAAGGGCTGGAGAGATGGCTCAGTGGTTAGGCGCACAGTCTGCCCTTCCAAAGGACCTGGGTTCAAGTCCCAGCACCCCATGGCAGCTCACAACTGTCTGCACCACCAATTCCAATGAATCTGACACCTTCACATTAACACACATAAAATAAAAAATTAAATAAATTAAAAAAAAAAAGAGCCACACTTAGAACACCCACTCTGTATGTACACTGTGTGAACCTTGTGTCAGGGACATTTTTTTTCTGTCCTTACTGCCAGGAGGGAAAGCAATGACTTGCAGGAAGGAACAAGATGAGGACAGGAGGCTTCTAGGCCTGAACACTTGCAGAATTATTTATCGTTCCTTCCTGAAGGGACTAAATTTTGCCACCCCCAACTAACATGCAAGATAGTTTTTGTCCCCGTGCCTCCTCCGTAGAGAAGTGGGATTTTGGATACAGATGCACACAAGAAAGAGGGTGTGTACACACAGGGAGAAGATTGCCTTCTTTAAGTGAAGGCTGTGACCAGACTAGCCAACCCTGCCAGCTGACATCTTTCTGAGACTTTTGAGACAGAGGCTGGTCTGATGGCTTGGCTGTTAAGAACGCTGCCACACAGGCCTGAGAACCTGTGCTTGACTCGAGAGTGCACATGAAAACACAGGATACAGCGGCATATGTCTGTAATCCTATTTCTGTTGGGAAATGGGAGGCTTCGATGGGAGAATTGCCTGGGACTTTGCAGGATAACTAGACTGGAGTACAGAGTATGGCAGAAGCAACAGGAGAAACCCTAGAACAAAAGTGGAAGGAAGGAGAGAAGTGACTGCTGAAAGTTTTCCACTGGCTTTCTCATGAGCTTAACGTTTAGATTAATAGAATGAATAAGGATACGGTACTTGCAAGCCTGCATCCACACACAGGACCGGAATAAGAAACTTGAAATTGGAAACAGAATTGTGACACAGTAACATTTTGCTGTCTAAGTGGCTCAGAGGTACTTTGTTAAAACATCCTTGGTAAGTGAAGATACCTTCTCTTATAGCTCTTTGTGCCATTCTTCCTTTCTCTTTCCCACAAGGGTTCAGTCTGGCTCCATGACAAGTATATAATAACTGAGGGTCATGGTGGAAGAGTGTTCCAGGCAGAGAAAGACCTTATGCAAAAACCCTGAGGCAGGAAGGGGCTAAAGATGTTGGAGTTCCTGAAGCAGCCCAGTGTGGTTAGGTTCCCTGGAGCCTAGAGGGTGGAGACAGGGACAGGAGGCAGTCCCTGCTGGTGGTGGACAGGAGTTCAGGCTTTAACTCTTTCCATTTTAGGCTGGCATTGGTATTACCTGGCCATTTTTCTTCACCCATTCCCCAACACGTGTGTGTGGAAAGAGACAAGCAGGAGCCAGCCCAGCATAGTGTTGCTCCCTTTGTTTCAGGCGCCTCAGACTAAAAATGCAAACACCTCGCCACCGCCAGAAGCGAAGGGGGGAAAAAATCAGAAAAGAGAGGGAGAGGACAAATCATCCCTTCCAACCCCTGCTGAGCATGCAGAGTGAGGGACATATGGAAATTAATATATTCAGCTCTGATAACACGGTTTTCCTCGGCGTTTTGATTAAATGCCGACGATTATTAAATACGCTCCTTCTAGGCGCTCATCTCCGAAAGCCAATGTTGCTTTTCATTTTGAACTCTGATGAACTGTCTCATGCCACTCACACGCCTCAGCTGAGCCTTAGCCGAAGGTGGGCTGGCACTGGAGGTGGATGGAGAAAAATCAATATGAAATGTCAGGCGGGAGGGAGGTCAGGACATGGGCCTCCCAGCTGGCAGGAGCTGGGGCCGGGTGGCTTTGGAACAAAGGGAGGTGTGCCTTGAAGAAGGTCAGCCTTTTGGCTCAGTCAGGAAAATGAATCTATTTCTTCTTAATTAGGTTAACAGGCTGGCGCCTTGCAATGGTGGGCAGGGCTGGGGTTGGGTGGTAATGGGCAGGTTTGAGGAAGGCTTGCTTCCTAGCTTCCGGGTCTCTCGGGGGAACTGCTCTATGAACTTTGATCTTGTCAGGGTGTGTGGCACGAGGGCTGTATGAAGGAGCATGTCCTTGGGGAGACTTCCTGCTTCCGTGTGTATGGATGACCCTTCCCTATTCTCCTCGGTCTTTGCATGTCAGAACAGCAATCATGGCCTGGCAAGGTCCCCATGATGCTAACTCACAGCACACCAGGCCGCTCTTTGATGCTGCTCAGTGCTCTGTCTGTGAGTCTCTAACGAAGGCAGGTGTCTTTACTCTTGAGCGTGCTTAATTTTCTCTGTCAACTTGACTGTCACAGGTGCTCACATACTTGCTCTGACATCCTGGTGTTTCTTCCAGGGTGTTCTGGGATAAGTTTAACATTTAAATTGATAAACTGAATAAATATTGACCTCTTAATGGGGATGAACCTCAGCCAATGAGGTGAAGGCGTGGTTGGAAGAAAGAGCCTGTCCTTTTGTGAGTGACAGAGTCTTTCTCCACCTGACTGCTTTGGGGGTGGGGGGTTTGGGATGATTTTTACCCCTTTGGTGTTGTTGAATTGAGACACTTGGATCTTCAGCCTGGTGGCCTGTGAAACAGAAGGACATCCCCTCTCCCAGAACTTTAGCTTGCTGACGGCAGATCTCAGTGGGCCAGTTCCTTATAATAAATCTCTGCATACACAGCGCCCATCCTCCCCCCATCTCTGCAGGACCTTGGCTAAGAGAGTGAGCTCTAAGAGACAGAGAGATGAGCATCTGCTTTTGCTCATCCTTGTTTCTCCCGAGTTGGATACAGTGCCTAGCATATGGTATGAAGTCGGCGAATATGAATTAAATTATGAATAATGGAAAAGAATAGTGTTCTAAGTACCTTACAGCAGCAGGCCTGGGGGGTTGGAGGACTGGGGTAAACATTCTGGTTGCCATCTATTACTCCCTCATGCTCAGAAGATGCTAGAAGTCATGTGTATGCATGTAACAGTGTTGATCTCTTCTTCCCACTTGCCCTGTGGGGTCTGTGGGGGCTCAGGAGGATTGCCTGGGGTCACAAAGTCACCAAGGAACAGAGCTTAGCTGTGCTCCCCAAATACTGTCCTAAACCATTCTCATTCTAAAATCTTTTAAGGCCTTGACCATTCTCCAGCTTTAGTTCTGGGCTCAGCCATTTTCCTAGTCAGTTCATGGTTCATTCCTCTGCATTCTAGACTCATGTTGGCCTTGCCCAACTCCAAAGCCCAGACTAGTACCTACTGCACTGGTTGTGGGGACACCAGGGCATCTTTCAGCCCCTCTGGAATATCTCTAAGTCAGTGGTACTCCTACCTTGTTCCATCTTCACGTCCCAGAGAGAACCTGTGCCTCGAGGCAGCTCATGTTAGACCACAGTCAGCATAGCATGTCCCAAACTGGACACAAATGCTTCATGCCTCGTATGATCCGCAGCAGTCCCCATCCCACTTGCCATTCATGTCAATCATTGGGCGTGCCTTCTTTTCCCTCTTCCTTCCCCTAGCCCTACATTTACCCCTGCCTCTTCTGATAATTCTAGTGGCTCTCAACCTGTGGGCTGCGACTCTCTGGGGGTGGGGGAGTGTCACATATCAGATACCCTGACTGTCAGATATTTACATTACAATTCATAACAGTAGCAGAATTACAGTTATGAAGTAGCAACAACAACAACAAAAATACTATGGTTGTGGGTCCCCACAACATGAAAAACTAAAGTAAAGGGTCACAGCATTAGGAAGGTTAGAACCACTGTCCTATCCCTTCCTCATCCCCTCTATATCCTCACAGTCCTGCAAATCCGGTTAATTCCGCTGCCAAGATCTACCTGCTGCCGACCATGCCATCTGACCTCCTTGTCCAAACCACCCTTTAACGGTCTCTTTACTGTTTCCCTGGCTGCTCCTTGGGGTCGTCTTCCTCACAACAGTGAGTGATCGCCATACAGAATTCAGACCAGCTCAGTATCAGCCAGTTGCTGGCAGGTTTGCATGGTAGCCTTCTCAGGAACATTAAATGTGGGGCTGACTCCCACATCAGCTTAGCACCGGTGATTTCTTTACTCCCAGTGTGAAATGAGATGAAACCCTGCCAGGGCTCCATACTCTTTCTTGCATGTCAGACGCCAGGGCAACCCCCACCCCCACCCTCATGGCCCCTGGGCTGATACTCACACTTGGTGTGCCTATCACACAGGGCAGAGGCCCGCATGTCACACAGCCGGATGGTCCCCTTACTGCTGCTGTATACGAAGGTGTTGCAGTGATGGGGGTGGAACTCAGCCGCTGTGATCACCTCCGTGAGCTCCTCCATGTTGGCTGGCTTGATGTCCACGATATCTGGCACAGACGAGTCAAGGAAGAACCAGGAGAAGGGAGTAGAGCTTGGGGCATTAGCAGCTCTCGCTACAAGTGCTACGAGAGCATTTATCACACACAGGGGGATTTCACTGGAAAGCTGTTAGCAGAAGAGCAGGCAGCAGTGATTTCTGGCAGCTGAGGCTCAGGGATAAAAGGGAGGGGATGGCCGGGTAGTCAGAGGTAGTGTTGGAACTTAGGTCTAAGTTGACTCTAATTACCGAACCCAGGAAGCTGAGGCTACAGGTTCAAGTGCAGCCTGGGCCACACTGTGAAATTCTATCTCAATGAACTTAGGTGTTCCCGACTCCTCATCTCAATTCCATCTTCTGTGACATGTAGAAGGCAACTTCATATTTGCCCATGAGATCACTCAAGAATGTTTCCTATTCTATAGCAACAGGAGGGGCCTAGCTAGGCCCGCTCTGGCCAAACTATTCAATTCGAATTCTTACAGGGATTCCTGGGCTGATAAATTTCATCTGCAACAGGATGCAAATCTTCTCCCACAAAAGATCTGTGTAACAACAGCAGCTGCTACTCAACGAGGGTTTGCTAAAAGGCCTCTCAGCACATATATCCTGAATTTTGATTCATTTAACCCTCACGATATGAATAACACATTTACCCTCATTTCCAGGGGTGCAAGGAGAGGTTCTGTGAGCATTCAAGAAGTTTCCTCAAGAGACATGGCTAATGGGCTGGGAGACACTCAGTAGGGGAAGGTGCTTGCTGCCAGGCCTGATGGCATTAGCTTGATCTCTGGGACCCAAGTAGTAGAAAATGACCAACTTCCACAAGCTGTCTTGTAACTTCCTCCAGTGTGCTGAGGAACACATTCACCTACACACACACACACACACACACACACACACACACACACAATTTGTATATATATATATGTATGTATACGTACACTATACATGTACATATGGTTTATACATAATGTATATACTAATGTGTGTATGCCTACCCATACATATACATATGTATCTAATATATATATTGTGTGTATGTGAGTAGGTGAATATCCTCATATGTCTGTACACACACACACACACACACACACACACACACACACACACACACAAACACGCACACACACAACTTTGTACCTGGAGTGAAGACTGGGAGGTTTCACGATAGCCCAGTTTCCCTCCTTTAGGATGTTGTCTCTGTAAGCTGTGATTCTCTAGGGCTGGGGTGCTGGGTGGAGGCTAAAGTATCAGAAAGAAACCATCTGTGTGTAGTGAGGGACATGCATTGGGTAGAATAGACTCAGCTCCCAGGTTCCCACCTTCTCAATATATTCTTTTGTTATAAAAATTATATATGTGTGTATGTATTTGTTCATATGTATATGTATCTAAATATATGTATATCTATTTAGAGGCCACATCCTTGGACACCAGAAGGAAACGTGTAGACTTTGTTTATAAAGGCAATTCAGTGGAAATAAAAGCTGAGCAAGGGGACCTGCACCCCTCTGACCCCACTACTCACGTGTCATGTTTGTGATGTTTGCCCCCTGTGTGTTTCCACTACTCACACTCACGTGTCATGTTTGTGATGTTGGCCCCCTGTGTTTCACATATTTACCATGTTTTTCTTTAGACCATCTTTGAATTGCCTCACTTTTTCATCTCACCTAAGCAGTAAGCAAACATTCCCAAAATAATGGGTTTAATCATCTACATGAAAATGAACACACAGTGATTAAAACGGAAATGCATGGGCCGGGAATCTCTGTGCCACTCTTTGGGAAGCAATGCGCTGCATGAACAAACAGGAGCTTGTTTGTTAGACGATCCTAAGGATACTTTTCACTAAGCAAGCAACACAGATCCCTCTTTGGCAAGCAGACAGGGACAAACAAGCTCATTATTTTGAGCCCTTTTAGTGCCAATTAGGTAGCCATTAGGTAGCAAATGTAGACACGTAGCAGCAAACACCGCCTAGGATCCTGTTGGATCTGTTGCAGAGTGCAGTTTGTTACAATGGCTTTGCACCAGGCTGGCCCTCTTCCTGTGTGATTATCTCTTAGGCACCGCACTGCGTTCTTTCTAAAATTAGTTTGAGCCTGTGCTAACATTGCCTTTTGGCGCATTTTCATCTGCTAAAACCAGATGCAAAGATTACTTGGTTCGAGGGGGCATGCGTATTCCTGTGGTCACAGAACACTACTTCTTGACTCAGTGCTTACATTTGGAACACGCATCCAAAGCGTGAACCCAAACCGCTTGGCAGGGGCTGCAGGCCACAGCTCTGATGTGCTCTCTGGCTGCTGACCTGTGCCTTAGGCTTGACGGGCATGGCAATGGGTAGGGCAAGCAGAGGTTCATGTTTAGCTGCTGTCAGATCCCATCAGAAAGTGTCTCTGTACCCCACGGTGCCAGCACGCATGTTTTCCTTTTCCCAAAGTAAGGAGAGAAAATCTGGTGTCAGTTTTCTCAGTGTAGCTCAGCAGACAAGCAGAACTGGAAGAGATCTTCACTGTGTGGGAGAGGGAGGTGCTACAGACACAGTTTTTTTTTTTCAACCTAAAAATAAAGTCTCAAAGTCAGAAGATGTGAAAACAAAGTGCTTGAGTATGTCTGTGCCTCCAGAAGTACCCTCCCACCACCACGGACATCTTCCTGGAGCAGTGCCCAGTGGATCTGCCTGGTCCACTGTGTCTAGATCTGTCCTTCCTTCCACCCACCCTTCATCTGTCTGACTTAGGTTTGGCCAAGGGAAGAAGCCATGATTCTATTCATTCTCAGCACAACCACCCAATAGCTGGTGCCTACCAAGTACAGAGGCTGTCTGGACTAAGTGTCTTATCAGCTCATCTGGCCTTCATTTCAGGCAAATGAAGTCAGTGCCATTAATAGCCCCATTTTACAGCGGAGAAAATGGAGTGAAGCAAGTTTGTTTTTCTAATCAGGAAAAACTTCTGTTTCTTAAATTTGTTCTTTGCCATTTTCATCCATATATTCATTACATTCTGATTACTCTTGACCTCACCCTTTTTTGTCTCTCTCCTGTTCATATTAACCCCTCATCCTTTCTATAAGTTCCTTTTCCATATTCATAAGCTTTTGTTTTTTTGATTATTGTTTGATACCCAATGGGCTTAACTGGGACCATCTGAGTGACTGTGGCTTTGGCATTATTTATTTATTTTGAATGTGCCAAAGTGTGCAAAGGACATGCTGGTGGAGTTGGTTCTCTCCTTCCACCTTGTGGGTTCTGGGGATTGAACTTAGGCCATCAGTGGCAAGAGCTTTTACTTGCTAAGACACTTTGCTGGCCTCTGAGGTAAATTTCTCAGGGTTGTATGACTGTGTGGGGCAGAGCTTGGATTTGCTTGTGCAAGGATTTGTTACACACAGCCATACTGCATTCAAGAGGAGTGGCCTCGCCAGGCCAGGTTCCCTGAGCAGTTTTGTTTGGCTCTAGGGGAACAATGAATAGCTCATCAGAGGGGGCTCTAGCTTTTTTGCACTATGCCCCTGAAAACTCACCAGCTACAATGCTGTGATGGTATTTTCCAGAACCAGGCATTTTGTGTCCTATGATATAGTTAATTTTCTTGAACTAGAAGTTGGGACAAAAGCCTGACAGGGATTTCTTGTCCTATTTCTTAAGGGAAGACTTTGCTGAATTTTAGAAACATGAAATTCACTGATATTCAGAGACCCAGGCCATTCCTCTCTTGGGTTCTGAAGGCTCCAGCATACACATTTCCCCCTTCGTATTGGGAAGGAGGGAGAAAGGGGCTATGCAATGCAAGGTGCCCAGTGTTACTAGAAAAATGGAATGATGTATTTTGACAGTCAATTTTCTCCATCTGATCCTTTTGAGCACTCTATTTAAATTATTTCCCTGTTGTTCCAAATAACTAAACAGCAAAAGATATCACTGGGCTCGTGCTTAATGTACAACCCAGACAAACAACAGATTGCCATTAAATTAACCCTGGGGCCTGACAGATATGTTCTTTTTGACCTCAACTGCTTGGAGCATGCCTTATTAATGCTAAACCCAGGCAAATTACCTCTACTAACAAAAGGGGTTAATCTGGCTCTCCAGGGGGTACTCTGGAGACAGCTCTGAGGATGGGATGGGGCACAGCCAGCCTGGCAGCTGAGCTTCATCCTTGCAAGGCAGAAGGCGGGAAAGTGAGGGCACTGCTGTGCCAGGCAGTTGCCTAAGGCATCATAGAAAGTAATAATTGAAGACACTGGGAGGTCACCCCTTCAGGGATTTGCTTAAAACAAATAAGCAGCCCTAGCCATAGATTACATGAGCAGTAGGATAAGGGGGTGGGGAAGATCAGGACAGGATGGCGAAGGGAGTGGGAGTCCTTTCAAAGGCAATGCACACTCAAAGTTTGGAAGACCCAAGCTTTCTAGACTTGTCACTCCCCAGGCTCCAGTCAACGGCAAGATTATGAAAGACTGACCCAAATAATTATAAACACATGATAAAGTGAACTTAAAAAAAGCTCTGTCATTAAATTATTTTTACAGTGAGATGTCCAAGTATGTAAAAACAACAACAGAAAAACCTTTGTATGTAAAATTCTAACACGAGGATCACAATGCAATTTAAGCCTACACCTGAAAGTGATGCACTTAACAGCTGGCGGAGCATGGAGCTGTTCGTGACGGTTCTATGAGGGGCATATTTGTGAGCGGTTCTTTTTTTTTTTTTAATAGTATCCGCCATTCCCACATCTAAATCCAATGAAATAGTAAGATTTTAGAGTATAATGGTATTTAAGACAGATTTTATGTTTGTCATATATTATTCCTGGTGAGGGAAAATAGGGACAAAATAGATAGTACAGCCTGATGACTGAAGGAAAATGAAGAGCAAGAGCAGGAGGAGTAGACAGGAAACACAGCCATGCCTTGCAGAGAGAACAGACTCCCAAAGTCAGTGTGTATATCACCTGTGAGTACCTGGCGTCCACTCACGTTCCCCTGGAGAGCAAA